CTCAATCGCGTTTTTCAGCTGGTGGCAGTCGTCGGTTTTGTGCCCATGGTGGCGGTGAAAGCGGCAATATGGCTCATCAGGGCCGATGGCGTAGATCTCGAGGGGTGTACGGGAATCTCGCTCGACGAGCCCCCGCTCTTCTGCATGATCAAGAATGACGCTGACGGGATGCGTCAAGGGAGTGCGTGGGTGCTCAAGGAGGACGGGTTGCGCCCATGCCTTCGGGTTGTTTTTGTAACCGCCCCCGGTTCTGGTTTGGCCACCTCGGGGGCGATCATTATATTGAGCCTCGCGGTTGGCCGGAGGAGGAGGTCCTCCGGGCCGATTCCTGCCTTCATTCTTCTGAGAAGGATCCGTGTTGCGGCGGTCCTTCTCGATCTCTTCTGCTTCGGCATATCGGTCCCCCCGATGAAGGGCCTTTGTATAATCGCGGGGGGGGGGATCAGTGATAAGGCTCCGGGAGAAATTACCGTTGCGGAGGACGGTGTGGAAGACGGCCATTAGTGTCCTGTCATCAGCGCCTTCGACCTCGAGGGAGGCCTGCCTCCAGCGTTCCAGGAAACTCCGAAGGGTTTCCTCCTTCTGTTGTCTCACGTTTAGAAGGTGGGAAAAGTGTTTCTTCGAGCGGTGCCTCCCTGCAAACTGCGTAAGGAAGCGGTGGGCAAGCTCTTGCCAAGAATCAATGCTGCCTTCGGGCAAACGGTTGAACCACTCATACGCCGGTCCCTCCAAGGTGGAAAGGAACCAACGGCATAAGTATTCATCGGATGCCCCCATCATCATCATGCTGTTCTGATAACGACTATAGTGCTCTTGGGGATCCGTCTTCCCCTCATACGGCTTGATGGGTTGCCCCCGATATTTGTGGGGGATTTTGGCCGCCAACACCCTTGGGGTGAAAGGCGTCCTAGTGCGGAGCTGAATGAGGGGCTCGCCTGAGCCTTCGGCAAGCTTACGCTTCATTTCCTCCACCTGTGCCCGGAGGTCAGCGTACTCTGGATCTGGCCTTGCTGTGGAAGCCGTCGGGGGCGCCTGGCGGTTCTCCTCGAGTTGACGGAGGAGGGCTTCGATGATTTCGTCCTTGGGATCCTTCGGGGGAACCCCTTGGGAGTTGGCCCGGAAGGACTGAGCCTGATTGATTTGGTGCCTGGCGTCATCGGCATGCAGGGGGGCTTTGCCCTTGCTCTGGGGCGGAGGTATGCCCTCGGCTCCCGAAGCGGAGGCTCCACTCTCTTGAGGCCTGCTGAATTCCTGTTTGCCGAGGCGGTCTTGGACCCCTCGGCGTACGGGAGCTCCCCCAAGCCTCTCAAGTGCAGAGGTCCGGGCTTTCTCCTTCATCAAGGGACGTTTATCCCTGGATTGGGCCTCTTGGGAGGCGGTATCCTGCGCCATGACCCCTTCGGCGTTTCCAATCCCCGGGGGAGGATTGTTGAACAGAGGAGGGAGCGGTGGTAATTGAATAACATTCCCTCCAGCATAGGGCTGAAGGGGTGCCTGGGAGACGAGGGCTCCGGAGTTGAGAGCCATGTTTTGAACAAAGGCCGCAAAGGCAGCCTGAAGATCGATGGCCGGGGCCGGAGGGGGAACTTGGTTCTCACACCGATCCCTCCTTCGATTATCAAGGCCAATGCGGGCATCAGGGGCGTTCTTCTGTAGCTGCTGACGGAGGTCAGCGGTAGCCTGCTCCAACTCAAGGATGATACCACCCTCGGGTACCAAGAGCCTGTTGGAGGCCTCAGCCCCGTTGGTTTCGCCGGGGGCTGTTTGGTTCTCCTCGAGGTTTTTAGATTGGGCACGGGTTGTTCTTCCCATTTTGTCGTAGGTAGGTTCGAGTTTGGTAAGAGGGGGAGGGTTTCTCACTTGATTGTTCTGACCTCTCAACGAGAGCACCAAATGATGGATAGTCTACCCGGGGGGTATCTTATCCGAGGGGTTATTGCGGGAATAACTTAGAGAGAAGTCAGAGCAAATAGGAGGAGAGAGAGTCAATTTATTAAATGAACTCGAGATGTGGAGTTGAGATGTAGATGATGTTTTACAAGGAGAAATGGGCTGCTATTTATAGCAGCAATAAATGCGATGAGAGGACACGTGTTAGTAATCCAACGGCCGAAGGGTCACATCAACCGGTTGGCACCGGCAGTGGTACGTTTACCGCATTGAATGCGGTTGGCGGATGTGACGTGGCATTAAATGCGGTGGTTGGCTGTCTCTAAAAGGAATCTCCGATGATTGAGTGTGCTTGGCCGAGGGCTCCTTGTGTTGCCGAGGGCTCTATGTAGCCAAGGATCCTTGTGTAGCCGAAGGCCCTGTGTGACCGGAGGCATGGTTTAGCCGGGGGCTTCTCTGATGCCGAGGGCTCGATAGAACCGAAGGCTCATGTTTTTCGCCGTTTTCTCCCAGTAGCCTCTTATGCCAGAGAAGGCTACCCTGTGAGGTTTGGGGCCTTCGGCCAAGGAGGCCGAAGGCACCCCAGTGCGTATTCTGGGCCACATCGAGGCTTGGGCCGCTGCATTTTGGGCCTGAGTTGTTCCCTGGGCTCAATGAACTTGTGTAGGAGAAGTAGGAGTCTATGGGCCGGGGGTTCCTGGGCCATATACTCCATCAATAATATAATATAATATAATATAATATAATATAATATAATATAATATAATATAATATAATATAATATAATATAATATAATATAATATAATATAATATAATATAATATAATATAATATAATATAATATAATATAATATAATATAATATAATATAATATAATATAATATAATATAATATAATATAATATAATATAATATAATATAATATAATATAATATAATATAATATAATATAATATAATATAATATAATATAATATAATATAATATAATATAATATAATATAATATAATATAATATAATATAATATAATATAATATAATATAATATAATATAATATAATATAATATAATATAATATAATATAATATAATATAATATAATATAATATAATATAATATAATATAATATAATATAATATAATATAATATAATATAATATAATATAATATAATATAATATAATATAATATAATACAATATAATATATATATATATATATATATATATATATATATATATATATTACTTTATATATCCAATTTTTCGGGACGATATGGGACGATTTGGTTCAATATGGTTCGGTACGGTTTTGGGACAATTATCACTCAAGAACCGGTACTGTACCATATTATTAAAAAAGTCTGGTATGGTACGGTACAACATTATATTTTTCCGGTTTCGTTCGGTTTTGGTACGGTTTGGGACGGTTCTCGGTACGGAACGTGAAATCTCAGATCCGTGCTCAACCCTATCGCTAACCACACATCATGGTAGGCTAATCTAACAATATTTGATATTAAAATAAATTGACATAAAACTATAGTTATTAAAATGAAAATAACAAATAGAAACAAAATTTCTGGTTTTTCCAGTCATCAACAAGAAAAAAAAGGTTTGATCAGTCACCTCCAAAGACGTCATTTCGATTTCACCAGTCACCAGGAAGAGAGAATAGGTTTTTCGACCCTCATAATTAAATCCGAAGGAAACTTAATTACACAATTTAACATTAGAAATAGCATAACCATCCTGATACGCACCTTCTAACCCGATATTTGTTCATGATTGGTTAGTCGGTTTGTAATCCCAATAAATAATTAATCAAATCTAGTCTAGTTCTGGAATCAGATCTATGCATACTTGTGACAAGCAGAAGACAAAAGAAGGAGTCTACAGATATCTTTGATGAGAAGAAGAGACAATTGCAGACAATTATTATACTAAAAATCAGTTTAAAGTCCACGAGAATACGTAAATTTTAAAATTCTATAAAATTGAATGAAATTTTGAATAAGCCTAGTTTTTTTTTCTTTTAAAAGTCTATGTTAAATACTACTCCCTCCGTCCCACAATTAACTTCACACTTTGAATTTATACAAATTAAGAAAATAAATTTGACTTTACTGTGGAGTGCACTGTTTAGCACTGTTCAAACACTGTTTGACACTGTTTGACACTGTTTTGATATAGATAATTTGTCAAATAAGGAAAGTATTAAAATGTGAAATTAATTTTGAAACTGCCCAAAAAGGAAAGTGAAAAGTTGTTTAGGGGACAGAGAGAAGATTTTTAAGACATTTAAAAGTCTAAATTCAATACAATAAATTTAATGTGGACTTTTAGGGAGTGTTTGGTTCAAGGTGATATCTTATGCATGGCGGAATCTCATGCCCGGAATGTGAGATACCTGTGTTTGGTTCGCGGGTTTGATTTTTTCTTTTGGGAATGTTACATTCCCAAAAGTGGAAAAGGTGATCACATTACCAGGCATGTCAAACCCACCAATGCCTTAGGTTATGTTAGATTCCTGATGGCTTATTAATTTTCTTCCAAAAAAAACCTATGCTTCATTAATCGAAATATCTAGATGTGGACCGAGCCCAGTCCGATTCCGGGTCGAGCCCGGATGGGCTTGGCTTTTTGGGAATGAAGCCCGGGACCGGAACGACTGTTGACCAGTACCGGTTCGGGGCGGTCTACCCGCCCGGGTAACGGGTCGGGCCGGGTACATTTTTCTAATTCATGTCTAAAAATTAATTCAAGAAGTGCTACATATAAAAACTTAAAGTATATTTATTTGAAACATGAACTACAATTGAAAATTGAGAAAAAAAATAAAACATGAAATACATTTTCTAATAATTGATAAGTTTAATGTGTTAAGAGACAAATATATAAAGGACATTCAAGTAATTCACCAAATATGCAATAAAAGATATCATTCAACCAAACAACTTAATGTGACATTCCTTAATCGTAACCAAACACAAATAGGCTATACATTAATCACATTCCCATCTATCTAACATACTCAGTAATCTAACATTCCCATGGTTATCTGACATTCCTTGAACCAAACATACCCTTAAAGTTATACCATCAATTTCATATACGTAGTACAATACAAATACTGGTGGATTCTGCTACTGTTTGTTGAATAGTTTTGCCAGGCGGGCTATGACGGCTTGTCGGCTTATGAATCGCAAAGATCAATTTGGGGATAATTGCACTATAAGCTACCTCGATGCATCCATTTCAGGAGCTACGCTCTTCTCCTGCTGCGCAACCACTGCTTCCACTGGAAGAGTCCAATAAGAAGAGAACTGGTAACTTTCATTTTTTTGATTTTACTCATTGTCATTACTAAGAATGTTTAACTCGTGTCAAGGAAAAGAGTGTATTTAATTGAATTGAAATTTGTATCAAACTTGGTAGAGCTATAGCATTCATCACAAGTAATCTGTTTAAAACAGCAAAGTTTGTTGGAAGAAAAGTAATTTGGGCATTCATTTTTGGCTGAAGTTTGACTTTACACCATATTCATCCCTTTTAAGTATAATAACATCTTCATTTGCACTTCATTCCTTCACAATTTGTTAGTTGATGAGGTACATACATTAATGATTTTGAAAATGAGGTGAGTCTAATAGCTCAAAACATGGGATACAAAGTCAAATTCCCCTATTTATTAAGGGAGTAAAACTATTGGGGAGTAGTAGTAGTAGAATATTTTGGAAAAGAGACTTTTATCAAAAGAACTTTTATTTTTATAAGAGATTTCTCTAGTTTTGCTTGATACAAAAAGAGGTAGGACAGTCCTATTTATACTAAAGCTTCTCCCCAGCTAATGACTAGGATGATGTCCACACAAATCAAATCTAGTGTCTCACAAAGGCTCTCTAGAATTCTCCTTACAAAATATCTACATTATACATTATTTTACCATCTAGACAATTATCTAGAATATTATTCTAGAACATGGAGCATCTATTATTATTATTATTATTATTTGGGCTTTTCTACTTATTCAAAAAAAATCATTGGGCTAGCTAATCAAGTTTAATTATTAGCCAGCCCATTGTTTTTTTTAAATGTAAAAGAGACTCAAATAAGATGTAGCCCATAATAGATGATCTAGAATAATATTATAGATAATTCTAGATAGCAGAAGGATGTAGGCAGTAGATATTTTTTAAGGAGACTTCTGCAGAGTCTCTGAGAGCCACTAGATTTGATTTGTATTGGCATCATCCTAGCCATTCATGTCCTGGCATCGCTTATAACAATTAAAGTTCTCTTTATAAAATTCTCTTCCAAAATATTCTACCACTACTCCTCCCCAATATTTTTCCCACAAAAGTGAGGCAAGTAGTGTTGGAAGGGCCACATATATTTACTTTTTTTTTACGTTTCTTTCATATTATTAGAGAGACTTTTGCAGATAGAGTGAGGGTTAAAGGAAGTAATATGGCTGAGAAAACAGGGAATGAATGGACTGCTTTAGCACATATAATAACAGCAGTGATAGGATCAGGAGTTCTATCATTAGGATGGAGCATGTCACAACTGGGATGGATTGCCGGCCCAATAGCCATGCTTTGTTTTGCTTCTGTCACCCTCACTAGTGCTCTTCTTCTCTCCAATTGTTATAAATCCACTGATTCTGACCTCCACACCATCACCCATGCATCTTACCTTGATGCTGTCCACTCCATCTTAGGTAAGATATATGAACTCTACTAAAGTTCTTGCTTGCCCTTTAGTTTGATGAATCATGTGGATGGATGCTTAGTGATCCAGCTAACATCCTCATCATTATTGTCATTAGTTTTGAAATCCATTTGGTCACATTCTAAAAATCTTCCAAATCTTTGAATTTCCACTTGTATTGATGATTTCTTTGTTGAAGGAGTAATAAAAATCATAAACAGATCGAATATCCATCTATGAAAAGTTGTGAATGTATGGAACCAATGGGTTTTATTAAATGAATGAGGAATAATGAATTGGATATTATTAAATGAATGAGGAATAATGAATTGGATAAAAATGTATCCAACCATCCATTTTGCATGCGAGGTAGGAATTAGAAGCGCCTGGTTTTGCGGCATCATTGTGGGGATAAATTTCATAAAGATTGGAATTGTGTACACTATCACCTCTGCTATTAGCATTGGGTATGTAAAGAAGTACGTTGATTTAGCTTTAGAATATCTTTGACAACCATTGGATAATGAATGAGCCCTTTGTTTGCAGAGCTATTCAGAAATCAAACTGCTATCATTATGAAGGCCACAATGCTACTTGTTCGTATTCAAACACTAAATATATGATTATATTTGGATCACTTCAAGGACTAGTGTCTCAAATTCCTGACTTCCATAATACAGAATGGCTCTCCGTCATTGCTGCAATAATGTCTTTCACATATTCATTTATCGGATCAGGTCTTAGCTTAGCCAAAATAATAGGTAGGTAGGTTGATTATCCGCACACTGAATCCTTCTTTCATTGTTGATGAATTTGTAGGCAATGTTTGAAAAAGTAAAGAAAATATGGGTGGAAACTCAATAAAATATGTGCACGCACATATATATTACTGTATATTTTTTCCAACTCATATTGTCATTTATTTCCATCACATAAAGAGCAAGAGATCTAAACATAAGCATAGTTTTATAAAACATTTCCGTGGCATTTCTTTTTCCTATCAATTTCAGGGAGCCAATCATACCCTTAGAATCCACTTTCTTAACTGGACTTTGCAGATAATGGAGAAATAATGGGTGGCATTGGAGGATTGCCTGCTTCTAATCCCAGTAAAAAAGTATGGTCAGTTGCACAAGCGCTTGGGAACATTGCCTTTGCCTTCCCATTCTCTGTCGTATTTTTAGAGATACAGGTGCATCAAATTTACATTCATCCGCCAAAGTAAAATATGAAATGTGGCAATTTGTTAAAACTTTTAAAATATGAAGCATACATTGAGGGCACCTTCAGAAAAGGCAACCATGAAGAAGGCCTCAATAATGGCAGTCTGCACTACCACACTTTTCTACCTGAGCTGTGGTGGAATGGGTTATGCAGCTTTTGGCAATAGAACACCTGGGAACCTCTTAACAGGATTTGGTTTTTACGAGCCCTATTGGCTTGTCGACTTTGCTAATGCCTGTGTTGCTCTTCACCTTGTTGGAGGATATCAGGTATTATTATTGTGCTAAGGTGAAGTTTAGTACTGTGGGGTTTTGAAGGGTAATGTAAAATTATGTAATCAAAAGCGTGTGATGTAAAAGTTACACTAGAGGTGTATATGACTACATTGCATTTCAATACTGCCGACCTAAAAGTATACTACTAACTAATTCCATACATGTTATTCTGCTCTACTACACAAACTTGTGACTGATATCTGGATTTGATATGAAATTTTATATGCACAGGTGTTCAGCCAGCCGTTGTATGCAAATGTAGAGAGATGGCTTAGGGAGAAATATCCAGAATGTCAATTTGTACATAAGAACTATATTTTAAATTGCCAACACTTCGGAGCTTTTCAGTTTAACTTCGCGAGATTGGTCTTTCGGGTTGCTTATGTTGCAATTATCACTGGGATCGCCATTCTGTTCCCGTACTTTAATCAGGTTGTGGCAGTCGCGGGATCAGTCAACTTCTGGCCTATAGTTGTTTACTTCCCAGTGGAGATGTACCTAAAGCAGAAAAACATTGAATTTTGGACAACCCAGAAGATCGTTCTTCGTGCATATACATACATATGCTTGGTAATCATCCTATTTGCCTTTGTGGGTTCTGTTAGAGGATTGATTCTGGCAAGGTCCCGCTAGGACACTATCAGGGAATTTTATATGTGATATATATTCATAGTACATTTTATTGACGAATAAAGGTCAAGTTTGTAAATTTTTAATATGTGATATATATTCATAGTACACTAGTATAGTACCCGTGCATACGCACGGAAAAAAGAAGTTGATGCATATATTTTTACTCTGAATCTAATTAACAATAAAAATAAAAATAACTTTTTAGCATTGTACATTTTCGAAAGGCTAAAGGGTCAAATAGGCCCTTGAACTGACTTAAAGTGTTCAATTAGCCCCTTATATAGAAGGTTCTGCCCGGACGTCGCCAATTGGGGCGGTTCCCGGTGGAATACTTTGATGAAATATTTTGAGCATCTTCTTCATTAAGTCTACTTTACTCATACCAAATTTCAGTTAAAAATTCAACTGGGAAGGCAGTCAAATGAGTTTTTGAAGATAACTGTGAAGTTAAACAGCGCAGAACATTTTGGAAAATCATTTGATTGTCTTCCCGCTTGAATTTTTAGCTGAAATTTGGTATGGATAAACTAGACTTAATGAAGAAGATGCTAAAAAAAATTCATCAAAAAATTCCACCGGGAACCGCCCCAATTAGCGACGGCCGGGCAGAACCTCCTATACAAGGGGCTAATTGAACACTTTAAGTCAGTTCAAGGACCTATTTGACCCTTTAGCCTTTTCGAAAACTAAGAGTATAATAACCTAATACACACACAATAAATGTTCAATGAAGAGTATCTTATGGAAAATTAATTGACACCACTCATCATTAGAATTTGCTACTATTTAATTTTGATGATTAAATTAATTTTAAAATTAAATACTATTCTAAAAAGGTTAGTACAATTAGTGAATGACATAAAATTTAAGTGAACACAAAATATTAAAATTAACAAATATTAGTTGAATAAGAACTTGCTACTTATTAGTTAAATTAGTGCTCACATATGAGAGAGAAAATTATTCTGCTAAATTGTTAGCCGGTTTATCTTATACCTAAAAGAACTAAATGTGAGATAAAGTTATTTTGATCAATTGTTAGCCGAATTATCTTATACCTAAATCACTACGTATGAGATAGAAAATTCTACCGCTTAAATATTAGCCGGGTTATCTTATCTTACATACTTAAAAGAACTACATATGTGAAAGATCGAAAATTCCCCGCTTAATTGTTAGCAAGTTTATCTTCTAATACCTAAAAGCACTACATATGAGAGAAAAATTTCTCCCTCTCAATTATTAGCAAGCTTATCTTATTATACATAAAGCACTACATGTTAGGGAGAAAATTATTCCTCTCAATTGTTAGACAGCTTATCTTCTTATATACCTAAAAGCACTACGCATGAGAGAGAAAATTCTCCCGCTCAATTGTTACTCGAATTATCTTATACTACGTATTTAAAAGAATTACATATGAAAGACAACGTTATCTCTCTCAAATGTTAGCAAACTTATCTTCTAATCTTCTTATACATGAAAATACTGCATATCTTCTTATACCTAAAAGCACTACGCACGGGAGAGAAAATTCTCCCGCTCAATTGTTAGTCGAATTATCTTATATTTAAAAGAACTACACATGAGAGAGAACGTTATCCCTCTCAAATGTTAGCAAGCTTATCTTCTTATACATAAAAATATCGCATATGAGAGATATAATTATCCCGCTCAATTATTAGACGGCTTATCTTATACTAAAATAACTAAATATGAGAGAAAAGTAATCATGCTCAATTGTTAGCAAGTCTCTCTTCTAATACCTAAAAGTACTATATATGAGAAAGAAAATCTCCTGCTCAATTCCCCACTCAATTGTTAGTCAGCTTATCTTTTAATACATAACAACACTACACTTGAGAGAAAATTCCCCCGTTCAATTATTAGCAAGTTAATGTTCTTATAACAAAATCACTACTCATGAGAAAGGAAATTCTCCCGCTCAATTGTTAGGCTGCAATTGTGCTTTCATAAGAAAGATCGTATTCATTATGAATTTTGATATATTGTTTATAAAAAATATCTTATACCTAAAAGCACTATGCATGGGAGAGAAAACTCCCCCGCTCAATTGTTAGTCGAATTATCTTGTACTACGTATTTAAAAGAAGTACATATGAGAGAGAACGTTATCCCGCTCAAATGTTAGCAAGCTTATCTTCTTATCTTCTTATACATAAAAATACTGCATATGAGAGATAAAATTATCCCGCTCAATTATTAGACGACTTATCTCATACTAAAATAACTAAATATGAGAGAAAAGTAATCATGTTCAATTATTAGTAAGCTTATCTTCCTATACCAAAACCACTACTTATGAGAAAGAAAATTCTCTCGCTCAATTGTTAGCCGGTTTATCTTATATTACATCTAAAAGTTCTACATATGAGAAACAAAATTCTCACACTCAATTGTTAGTCGGTTTATCTTACACCTAAACTCGTTACATAGTTGAAAGAAAATTCTTCAGCTCAATTGTTAGTCTGATTATCTTATACTTAAAAGAACTACATATAAGAGAGAAAGTTCTCCCGCTAAATTGTTAGCAAGCTTATCTAGTACTCAAAATCACTACATATGAGAGAAAAATTTTCCCGTTCAATTGATAGCTGGATTATTTTATACCTAAAAGCACTGCTTATGAGAGAGAGAAATTATTATCTTTCACACAATTGAGTAGGTCAATACCTTATTAGCCCGCCATAGCAGTTCAATAAAGCAGTCAATTCTTCCACACCAAGAGGTTATGCGCCATTCAGTTTCCTCTAAACAGTTCTTTGATGTCATTGTTATACTGGTCTTCTACGTCTTCATTACTTAATTACATGATTCCATTTTAACTTACATTCTACCATTAGATTGTTAAGGCTTTGAGTTTGTTTTTGTTTATACGGAGTATATATTCAGTTTTTTAAATTTTATATATGCAATAGTGCTCTCATAAGAAAGATCGTATTCATTATGAATTTTGATATATTGTTTATAAAAAATAGAGCAAAAATGAAAAAAATTATAACACTTGTATCATTCTCTTTTTATTATTCCTAATACAAAGAGAAAATTCTCTTGATCAATTATTATTATTTATTAGTCCGCTTATTTTATACTCCATACATAATAAAAACGTACTACATAAGGGAGAGAAACCTCTTCCGTCCAAATATTAGTCCCCTTAAGGACTCATATTGATTATTATACCTAAAAGCACTACATATGAGAAGTCCCCTTCAGACATGATCTTCTTATACCTAAAAGCACTACATATTTGAGATAAAATTATTCGGCTCAATTATTAGTTCGCTTATCTTATCTTATACCTAAAAGCACTACATATGCAAGAAAATGTGTACGAAACTCCTATGTTTCGTGAAAAATATTTGCACAAATAGAATGTTAAAATTGTTGGTGTATTAATTTTTTAATCATAAGGCTCAAAATTTGTATGAAGTAATTAAGAACAAAAATAAAACCGGATTAAATTATTGATATGATTCTTGTTAGAATTGTAATTTCTGGAAAACACTAATTAGAGAGTCATGGAATCGTAGTATGAGGTATGATTGATATGATTCTTTTAGAATTGTAATTTTTTTTGGCAAATTTAGAATTGTTATTAATAGAAAAAACGGCATATACTTTAAGCAAAAATAATTAAATACATTATTGCTGCCGATTTTTGTTCTACGTTACGTTGTGAAATTCGTTTCACCTCAAACAGCAAATGAGCAAATGAGCAATTTATTTTTCCAATTTATTTTAGAGGCATACATTTATTTTTTTGGTGAGCAAATCAGCAAAAGCATTCTTAAATATTATTAGGAGGCCACATGGCCTTAGGAGGTGAAAGGAGAAAAAAACAGGAGAGGCATACACATAGGTTTTAAAAGGGATAAAAATGTCTTTTAATGAGCTATTTCTTTTCTTATATATAAATAGATAGATTTTATTGACCAATAAAGGTCAAGTTTGCAAATTTTTAATGTAAAGTTTTGACTTGTATTTTTTTTAATGGAAATCAATCACCTATATTGAATTAATAATTTTTTACTTGTATTTATGTACAATGATGTAAGATGTGTATGTTCTAAAAAACAAATTGACTTTTAATTGGTTTATATGCCATGTATTATATTTTAATATGGTATAAGGGTTTGTGAATCTAGACTTTTAGTGTAATTTTTAGAGGTTAAAAGTTTTATATGATTATATTTTATTGTTATTCTGTTTGAAAGCTATTTTATCTCATTGGAAACATAAATCAAGTTCTAAAACTATTTAAAAAAACTATTACAGAGATTATCATTAAAAAATTATTAAAGAGATTGCATTTACAAAATAGTAAAAGATGAGACATATTATATCAAAATTTAAAAATAACATTGGTTAACTTTGAGGGTGTTTGGCGGTCGACTGTTAGCCGTTGGCTGTTACCTGATTGTCTTAGTTGATTGATGATAGCAGATTCTGTTGGCTGTTTAAATTAGTGATAGTATTAACAGTTTATAAAATGGTGTTTGGTTAAATAGATGTTTATATTTAGCTGATAACTTATTAAAATGACATTTTAGGACATCAATTATTTTTCTATAGTACTAATGTAATTCGTACTACTGTATAAATCCTTTTCATGATTAAAAGCGTCAATATGTTTTAACACAACTAATAATTACTCCATATTTTAAACCTCTATTTTTTTTAATTCATAAGTGATAGCCAATTTTTCATACTTTTTTGTGAGATGAGCACAACATTTTTATGAGATGAACACAACAGATGAGGCAACCTCAGTCGGTATCTCATTTTTATGATATCCTTCCTTTTTTGGAGCGGGATCAAATAGCTAACTATATGACAGATGGCCGCTTGCTGCCTGCATTGTTTTTTTGCTCTCAAACAGAAGAAGATTTAGGTTAGGGGAATTATATTTTGGGTCTTCGGCGGAATTTTTTTCTGCGAGTATAGGAGAGATACGGAAAATACAGGGTAGCGTAGGAAAGTTACGAAACGCTAATTGTAAACGCTAGGGATAATGACGTTTTTTTTTTCGTTTGGAACAAAAGGCTAATTTGAAAAGCTATTTAGCCAAACACTTTTATTAGCTGATTGATTTGGTCATAAGGCCAAATATGGTTAAAACAGCCAAAAATGGTT